TAAACCATTTCTTATCCACCCGCCCCCGTTCTTTAAAAAATGAAACCTAAAATAAATATAAGATCCCCCCCCTTTCCACACACAAACATAAATAAATAATTAGATAAATAAAAGCCGACTAAAACTGAATCTTAAAAACACCAACCCAATAAAGCAAAGAGCAACAAGATCACAAAGTACAAGTAAAAATCTATTCTCATGTGTCGTATACTTGTTCTCTAAAATCTACCACTCCCTTTTATACAACAAATTTGGAAAGAGCCTCTGAGTAAAAATGAATTTTCCAAGCAGTTTCTACTGAGATTTAATAATTTCTATTTCGCGCTGCGAAGATAACGGGAGACACAACAACCCCGCCGTGTGAGATGAGCGATAAATGGGAGAATGTTTCTTTAACTCATTGGCGACCTGCATTCTAGTCACTGTTTTGGGGTACCGAACTTTAAAAAATTAAAATGTCAATGGAAGCCTAACTTCGTTTTTCCTACATATTTGTCAACTGCTTTTTTTCTTCTTTTTTTTTTTTTCTTTTTGAAATCGGAAACTCAAAACGACAGATAAGAGAAGGTCGTATACTATGAAATAAATATCTTGTGTGGATGAAATATTACGCTCAGTGATCGTGTGATTGATGTAGTGCACGCAGCGCTTATTCTCGTTTGGGATAGAGCGTTATATAAATGCAATCTATTATTATTATTATTGTTATTATTATTATTATTATTATTGTTATTATTAATGTGTAAATTCGAGTTACTGATTTGTGTACGTTGGTTTGAAATGTGCTACAGCATTGGCTTCGGTCTGTTGCTGCTGATTGGGCATATTAATAATGTGTCCGCTTCATCTAAAAAGAGTTAACTTTTCTGGTCTCCCTGCGTTTTATTGATTTCTAATTTTGTTGTTTCGTGCTTCTCGTAGGCGTGCTGTTAGCTCAGCTGCTATCACGCTGCGTTATGCTACAACATGCTACAGATGGTCATGGTTCAAATCCCCTCTGCACCGTTCTTGATCCTACAGAGATTCAAGGGTTTCATCCTAAGTAGTTTGTCCCATTCAGAGATGGACGCTAAGTCGGAGGTCCCGCCTCATAAATAATCTCCCAGTGTTACTTGCGCATCCTTTTTAATTACTGTTTGGAAAGGATCGTGGGTATTCGTAGAGACAGATGAGAATCTGAAGCTGTGAAGAAATCTGGGCGTTAGCTCAACACAACAGAAGTTGGATTTTTTTTTCTATTTTGAAGCTTCCTGGTTACAAATCATTCTCGGGCATAGTTGGCTGTTCAGTCGTCTGCTTTCGTTCACCTTTTCAATTTTACGCAGACTTGGGACATAGCTTTTTAAAAAAGATTTTTTTAGCTCTACATGTGCACACTTTGTCTATCACTCGTAGTTCGGCTGCTTTGTATGGCGATTTTTGGCGGTAAATGAGAGTCTGTCTGTCTGTCTGTCTCGTCTGTCTGTCTGTCTGTTTGTCTGTCTGTCTGTCTGTCTGTCTGACTGTCTGTCTGTCTGGCTGTCTGTCTGTCTGTCTGTCTCGAACGTTACAAACAATCTAAGAATGAATAGAGGAAATACAAAATTTTATTACGATTTCAATGTTTTTCTACGCCACTTTCCCCAACTGTGCTCTCTTTTCTCACTTTTTCAATTTTCTTCTCCTTCTTCTCTCATCACCCTGCACCCATCAGCACCTATCCTATTTCACCTCTTGTCGTCCTTTCTTCCTCAAGTCCATACCTCCCGGTATCCCTACAGACGCGCTCCCTATATTAAACACTGTTGTCATTCATGCCCTCCACTATCCCTTATGTCCATACCCACCAGCTCAACCCCATTTTCATTTCTGCCCGAAGTTCATTATCACCACCCACACCCCCCCCTCGTCCCGCTGTTCCTGTGTCCCCCATGGGTCCGGCTTCTTATTTCAAACCTCATTTTACTTTTTGCTCTTAGCTCTTCATTACGTCCATAACCATTTGTCTGTCTCTCTGTCTGTCTGTCTGTCTGTCTGTCTGTCTGTCTATCTCTCTCTCTCTCACTCTCTCTCACACACACACACACATACACACACACACACACACACACACACACACACACACACACATACGCCCACAGAGACACACACGTTATTCCTTGTCCCTACAAATTCTAACCCTATTTCAAACACTCTTTGCAATCTTACCCTCACCTGTTCTCAAATCCATTAGGCTATGGTAACTCTCTCCCCTCCCTTTTCTCCCTAACCCTGTCCCCCTGCCACACTCCTAATTTCAAACACTCTTTTTCTTCTTGCCCCGGTCCTTCCTTTTTTGAACCCCCGCCCCCTTTAAAAAAATATCTTGAGTCGACTCTGGTGAGACGGTGTAACATCACCGTGGCATTTTTCTTTTCTCATTACAAACAGGGCCTCTGACTCTCTGTTTATCTCCCTCTTCTTTTTCATGATGTTTCTCTGCCATATTATATGTAAATAACTCCCCCACCCCCCTCTTTCCCTCTGAAGAAACGCCATATAAAATAAATTTAGTGATTTCATGTATTTTGGTTCTGTTCGTGTATGCACTGTTATGGACCTTGTTTTCTATCTCCTTTTATTGGGTTGTATTTGAAACTAGATCTAGTACTTAAAAATGTTTCTCCAAATGCTTCCGACATGTGAGATTAACTATTCAACAGAATCATCTGTCACGTATTGTAAGTGTGTGTTACCTTCATGAATGTTTCAGATTACAGACAATACCCTTTTGATTTGCATTGACCCAAACCATCTGCAAGTTGCCAAACTTTGCTTTCGTTTAGATTTCAAACAGTGGTTTTGAAAGCTTAGTCAAATGATAATATTTAAGCGCAGTAAAATCAGAAGCCATATATCGAAGTAAATAATATTACAATGAACACAGTTGGCGTACTGTTAGATATAATTTTTAAGCCTCGTGAATTTCCACTTTAAAAAGTGTGTCTTGAAAGCATAATATAGACACACAAATTTGATTAATTCATCGACCTTATCGTGTCCATCCCAATGCTTATGAGACAAAAAAAAAGCCTGGGTAGGGGATACAGTTTGGGGTACACGGTGCATCCGTTTTCGTCCCACTTTCTTTTTGTTCTTCATTGCCCACAACCCAGGGATTGAATGCCCCGAAAATGGGTACCTTATTCGTACCTAGTGAAGTGTAACACTGGAGACCAAATCTTAGGTTCACCGCTTTGGCATACTTGTAGTACTACACATTTTATTCTTAGTCTGTTCCTATCTATGCTTCACCCCCTTACTTTTTTCCTCCACAGAACTTCTGTGTCGCATGATGATAGGCTGTCGTTAACACACAATTCGGTGGACAAGTTTCTTAGACACTGTGTAGACACGGGTTCAAATTATCGTAATCTTTGCCAATATACGCAACACATACTCATGTTTTTGCCACAAATCAACGAGGGTGGATAAAAGGACCACTGAACCATGCGACCTCGTCAAAATGTCGGGGCTGTGTGCTGAAGAAAACCTCGAGTCAATGTTGACCTATTCTCTCCGAACAAACACCGTCCCTCTCTCTCAGCGGTTTCTCCTTTCTGCACACTCAAAAGAACTTAACGTGCAAGTGGGCACGGTCACCATGCCCTAGATTTTAAGGTTGAACAGATCTAATCAATGCCTGGTGTCGTTACTGTCAAAGAGATACTCTGCAGCAGAAATATCTTGAACGGTCTCTGTATTGGTGCGATTCAGAACTCCTGAGTTTGATTTCCGTGTGGGGCGAAATTTTATTGCTTGTCTTGGTTTTCTGCTGGGATGTTGTAACCCTCTCAGCCTGGGCTGGCCCTGACAGTCAGTCAGGTTGAAACCCTCTCCCTAAATTATTCAAATTGTGTGGATCTATGTTTAGATGGGGCGTTAATCACATACACAAAACACAAAAAGAACTATTGTGTTTCCCTTTTTAACATGTTGACATAAAAAAAAATTCAATAAAGTTCACCCAGGGATAGCAAGTCTTACTAAATGCTACATGTACGCCCATAAGTTCAAGCACATTCAATTTTTCGTGAAACTGAAAGTAAGGATGTTCATTTATGCTAAAAGTAACTGTATAAGGGAATGCACCGAGTAAGAGAGCCCGGGTAATGCATTTGGGTATTTCCAGTTACTTGAGCAACTATCTGCAAAATTGACTAACCTTTCGGTTTTGATATTAACATGTGTATTATTTTTAGTTTTTCGTGACATCATCTGGTGAGAACAAAACAGACGAATAGATAGAAAACACTGGTCGTAAGCCGAGCAATGAGCATAGTACTTCTTTAAATCGTAGAAATAACATTTTACTTCGGCGTGTACGATTTCACTATTTCTGATTAAATATTACAACAGATTAGAAAAATAAATAATAAGACATGGGTAGATCTAATTAAAGTTTTGTTTTCTCTGCCCGTCTTCAACCAAAAAAAAAAGAGAAGAAAATGATGTCTTAATCCAATCATACCATTTATTGGAGTATTCATGTTTGAGGTTATCAAAATAAACCTATGTTAAATTTAAATGAACGCAGATACAACGTTGTATTAGTTATTTATTCGTTTATCATTATTTATTCCTCATATTTAAAGAAATATCGTCCTATCCTGTTTATAATATTGTTTATTATATTGAGGACCAGGAGATAAATGAGGACATCAATCGTCCAGTGCCGGTTAAAATGAGTCAGTACTGTGTCTGGTCGGGATCACTCTTGCTATACACCAAGTATTACTAATGCAGGTTACGGATACCTTTCAGAGAGACACTTTTTTCATTCGTAAATTATGAATTCACCTAAGCTTACTATTAGGAACTAAAATGAAAATACCAATGAGAGAGAGAGGGGGGGAGAGGGAGAGAGAGGGGGGGAGAGAAAGAGAGTGAGAGGGGGGTGACATAACAATTAGAAAGGCAGAGAAACACAGGTAAAAAGAGAAAGAATGTTTTATACTATATATAACAATAACACAACTTACTAAATCGTTGACTTTTGAAATCCAAAGAACCGTGAACCAAGAATCCAAGCCTAAATTCCCACAAACATAAATTCCAACCAGCACTTCACGACCTGTTCTGTACGTTAAGTCCAGATCTTACTCCACCCCACCAGACCGGTGGTCAAACGGGTACTGCGGCTTCCGCAAGATCTTCGGGTAGTATTTACGCGTAGGTTTAAGTTATCAACCCAACATCGGACAATGCCCGGGAATCGGTCATTAAGTAGAAAGTCTGCAGAAACGAATTATAGAACTCTTCACTTGCCCTCCTTTTCCTCTATCCCTCACCGCTCGACAAGTCTTTCGGTCTGTATCCCCCCTCTTTTGAGTGGTTTTGTCTGCCGACGAGTTTGCCAACTGCCGCAAAGCAAAGAAAGTTCCGTGATTCAGTCAACTGGGTCGCATTTGGATTGTCGTCAGCTGAAAATGGAAAACACGTTCCCAGTTTACCTGTCCAGGGAGGCCCGTGTTTGACTAGATCTGTCAAGCTAGTCTGCGTTCTCGAGTGTACACATAATATATGAAAATCGCCCTGACTGAAGGCAAAGAAGCTTAAAACACTTTGCTCCTTAGTTCTTTGCATTTTAAGAGCATTTCAAGGGAATTTAGGACTATAATCTTTAGCGTAGACAGCCCAAGGACTTGTAAAACCTTTAGGTTTAACTGTCAATTACAGTTTGTTTTTCATTTCTAGCGAGTATAAAAAAAAACGTCTTGTCTCCTGAACGTTGGAAAAACATTTTTGCTCAATGCGAATATAATATCAATTATTCAAGCTTTATTATAGATGCAAGAATTAATTGAATCTAGAGTAAGATTTAGGGTAAGTAGTCTAGTAGTCTTTTCTGTTTTTAAACAATCTTCTTGCAAGAATAAATGGAAAACGGACGATCCTAATTGCTCCTGAGATATCAAAGTGATTTCCTATCTCTTGATTTTGTGTATGTGTATGTGTATTGCACCTTACATTATAACAAATGCCTTCCAGATATCTGTTCCTGGAGGTTAGGAGAGTTCGTTTCAATCAACTCAACTGAGGAGTTAATCTACACATCTTAAACATAACGGTTTATGCTCATTTCTTCCACAAAAAGTGATTTCAATGTTTAGAAAAACAAATAGTAGAATTATCTTAGTATATAAATATAATGTCATGTTTGACTTGACTCGTTTTCTTTCTTATGTACTTGCGTTACGACCCCCCACCCCC